AAAAGTATCGTAGATAATGCTGTAATGCAGATTTCATGATAATACTGTAATAAAAAGAAAGAATATCAAGAATGGTATAATACCAAGTTTTAAATTTATATGCAAGTATGTGAGATATATTATAGTGCATACATAATATACATAATAATGCGGATAGTAGATTTAATTTTTTTACTTTTTGTCAAAATCAACGTAATAAGATTCAAAGAATTATTGTATTAGAATTTTCCAGATCATATATTAAAGAATTGTAATCAAATAAATTAGAGTAGAATAAATAGACGAAAATTCCAAAGTTATGCACAGAATATTCAAAGAATAAGCAAAAAATCAGAACAGTTACAAAATATGAAATAAAAAACGCCCACATATGTTGTCATACATTAAAAATTCATTGTCATTTATAAAATCTATTATTGGTTAGTAAGAAAAGACAGTTTATTTGTTTGTCATTCTGATTTGGTGACATTTTGCTTAACATTGTTCAAATAGCACGTTAAATAGCACGTTAATTGAATTGAGTTCTTATTTTAGAGTTAAGTATATAATCAAAAAAAGGTAGTTCCTTTTTCAAAAATCTTTTAGAATAGATTAGGGATTTTCCGGGAATTTATGAAGGATATGCACACTGTTTCATGTTGATAGGATGATCAAGCATGGCATGAAAATTATGAATTCGAACAATTTAAATTTTTTTGCTATTTTATGATAGGTTTCTAAATAAAAAAAAAAGATTTAGGAAATGATTTTGAATTTTAAAAAACAATTAGAACAATTAGCATAAGACTAAAAATAGGTGAAATGTATTATGCAGATCAGGAATGTTTTACAATCATTACAAATAATATATAGTTATTGGATGCGAAGTAGCCGGAATAACGGAAATTATTTGTAAAATAATTTCATTATCTGGCTGTGAAATTTAATATGTCAGCTTCTGGGGTCCGAAATGATACATATTAAATTCGCTGCCAGATAAACAAGTTATTTGCTGCGTAGCATACAATAACGGTGTTATCCGGACGATTGTGCTTGCCAAATGACTCTAGTTTTTGGTAGTGATTATGTAAGCTGCCAAATAACTCTAGTTATTTGGCAAGCACTATCATAGTAAGCTGCCGGATAATCAATGTTACGTAGACAGAATTAGAGAAAGCCATACAATAAATATGAGAGCTGCCAAGGGAAAATGGTTGTTCGGATTTTCAATTATATTTTGTACCGGACACAATCTATCTAATTTATTAGGATAGAAAATAGAATTGAAAATTTGAACGGCAATTTTCCCTTGGCAGCACTTATATGAATTTAAAATAAATATAACATAATTAATAACAGAACTAATAAAGAAATTTCCGACGAATCTTATGATATCATTACGGTAACACAAAAGGTTCTTTATTTAAATATATATAGTTTATTAATTACGTACATCGTACATCGTACATCTGATGACTCGTTCACATTGTTGTCCTCCGCCAAGTATTTTATACCTGAACACAACTTTAAACGTACGTACGTATCTTATTTTTTATATTAATAATCATAAATAATAAGGAATAGATACGTACATAGATACGTACATGGATCCGTACATGGATCCGTAACATATTTGAAACAAATGATTTTTAGGGTGTAAATAGTTTGATAATAGGATATACAATACAGTAGATACGGTTAGATACAATTAGATATAGAGTAAATACCTGGATATAGATTTTGACCCGCCATCTTGCAGAGAAATTTAATATCATTCTTTAATATCATTCGTTCGTTATTCAAAAAAGATAATAGAAGGGTATCCAACATGTATATAAATGTATATAAATGTATATAAATGTATATAAATGTATATAAATGTATATAAGCTGGCATATATGCATAAACGAGCATATATAAACAGGTATATAACCATTTATAGTTATGATATTCAAATTTAAATATTTAATCAAAATATATTCAGTCAAAATATCGATATTCAGTCATTGTTACTTTTTTTAATCTGAACCCGCGATTTTTAATCACATTGTTTATCTAAGGTATGTACGTACGTTTCTGGGTTATAAGGAATCATAACAGATAAGTTCATCATCTAACGTTAATACGTAATATAAATACTTTAAATATTCAATAAATATTATTTAAAACAATCACGTTAATCATGCTTTATAAAAAAAAAAAGGTATAAAGAATGACAACAACAATTCAATCATTATTCAATCAATAAATTACAAATTACTTAATTTAGTAAATAGAAATAAGGGACTAGAGTATTCTTGCATAAGTAACATACCTCATTTGCACTCTATAAACAAAGAGAAATTTTTCTCGATTATATACGTTACCAAATACTTTGTATGAAATTCTTTATATAAAAAATTATTTAATCATGTTGGTCAATTTTTTATATTAGTTAGATTTTCTGAATAGATCTCTGCACGAGGTTATTTGATGCTTGGTAATACGAGGTATATTAGGTATAGATGATGAAAATTACAATTTTTTACTTTATGATTATCGTTATTCAAGTTATTCGTTTAAAATTTTTATATAAATCTAAGCTGTATATTTTAGGGTCTCTTTATGATCTTCAAATGTACGCCATTCTTTTCTGTGATCGTAACTTTATTTCGTTCGATATATACCTGATACGTACTGTGCATATTTCTGTATTTACTGTAGATACCTGACACGTAAGTGCGTACATCTATTACAGTATCAAGACCGGTATAAAATCAAGTATAACTCAAGTATATACATATATATTAAGTATATACATATATATATTATATATATATATATAAATTATATATACGTAATATATTTCTTTAAAATGAATTCCTGATAATTAATTTAGTTTAATTTAATTTAATTTACCGGTTACAGGGTAATCTAATTTTAATTTAACATATATATACGTATATATATATTTTTTATAACTATATAAAGTATTAATTATTTTGTAACGATTAATTAGTATAAATAGGTGCATCTCTGAACCAACAGTTTCCTTCCCCTTCTCTCCTTTTAACTTCACAGCTTGTTTCCGCGATCCATTAATTATTATTATTATAAAAAGCTCTGTCGCCAAACGGTCAATAAAAACTTTTTGTTCACTTGACCAATTTCCTTCCTTTCAAGTGTCAATAAAGAAGATACTTTGATTAGGTTTCTTTTCTTTTCAGTTTTTTTTTCCGTTACTTTATCGTCAACTTTTTAATTTTGTTGACTCGTTTGTCATAGAACTTTTATATATATATATAATAAGAAAGTTTTCATCGTTTTTTTTTTTAAAAAAAAAATAAAACGTTCGAAAAAAAAAAAAACAAAAAAAAAAAAACAACAAAAAAACAAATTTGTATATCGTATATAGAATTCCCTTCCCTTTATAACATTTATAACACTTCCTTCCATTAACTCCTCATCATTTAACTTCTCATCATTCCGATATAAAGAGATTCTTTCTCTTTTTTTTCCATTCCTATTCATCTGAGGCTTTTGCCGGGCAATTTCCTCCTTTTTCCCAACATAATAATTCTTAAAGACATGCAATTCGAAGATACTAAATCTGGTTGGTTGACAAAACTTGGTGGAAATGCTTTAAGAAAAACCTGGAAACGTCGTTGGTTTGTATTAAGGGGAAATTCTTTATTCTATTATCGGCAAAAGGTAATTTTTTTTGTAATTAATGATTTAATGCAGGGTCCTAACAGTTTCCTAACCTATCCTAAATTCTTTTATTTTTTTGTGTTTAATAGGATAATCCAGAACCTGCTGGCGTAATTAACCTTTCAACATATAATTCTGTAAGCCAAGATTCGTCAGCCACTAAAAAATCTTCATATTGTATTCGCATTGAAAAAATTATTCGAGAAAATGATTCAGTTCATTCAACACTTAGTTATAATTCACGTTCTATAAAAAAATCTACTGCATTTCTCGTTTTCGCTGATACTGAATCTGAAATGCAAGAATGGATTTCAGCTTTTGAAAAACGTTTGGGTGGTCGAAATATTGTTGATATAGTTTTGGATAGATTAGAACTTTCTGGTGGTATGCACCGTAGACAAGCTAGTTATAGCTCTTTAAGTTCATTTTATTCTAGAAATAGTGGTTTTGGTTCTTCAACTGGTTCCACTTCTGCTTCAACTTTCTCATCTCGACGTCCTTCGTTGGAATCTTTGAGTTTGGATACTCCACCTTCTATAAATTCAAGAAAGAGTTCTATCGATTCATTTAATGGTGTTCAACATGTAAATAATAATATTAATAATATTAATAATATTAATAATATTAATAATATTAATAATATTAATAATATTAGTAATAATAATATTATTAATATTTTAAATAGTACACCTTCATCACGTCCGGAGACACCATCAAATTTAGTAGCAATGTTTGGATTAGGTCAACCTATTCTTCGTAAACCTGCTTCATGTTCTGGTTTACAAGATAAAAAAACGAATAATACAGGTGGAGGAAGCACTTCTATACCTCATAATACACACGTTCGTAAACTTTCACTCACGTTCAATAAAGAACCTGTACGTGCACAAACCGCTCCATTAATAATGGTTCACGGAGAAAATACGAAAGTCACTTCATCACTTGATACAATATATTTTCCAAATAATCATAGTAATCATGTAATTAAAAGTAGTCCATTAGGTAGAAAAAAGGCTACCTATCTTGATCAATCTAAAGAGATCACCCCATCTTCACCAATTACTCCACTCGCAAATGTATTTCCTAGTCATTTGAACTAGTAATTACGCGTAATTTTTTTAGTGTGGTATCGGAAGAATAAAATGCTTAAAATAATAACGGACAATTTTCTGCATTTCTTTCGATACTTTATTTTTTTTTTTTTCTCGAATTATCTTCAATGTTTTCTGTATATATGTCAATCAGAAACAAGTTTAAAAAAAAAAATCTTGTTTTCAATAATTTCTATTTATGAAAAAAAAAAAATTATATAAATATATAATATATAAATATATAGATTTACTGTTTTTTTTGTGTCTTTTTTTTTTTTAAGAAAAAAATATTTTTTTTCTACCAAAAGTATGTAACACACTCTTTTATTATACATTGAGCTTTTCAAATAAGTACAGAATTTAAAAGGCGCACTATCAATAATATGTATTTATGATAGTGCTTACAGTATTTGTAGAGACTAATTTAGTTAACAATTCTTTTTTTCTTTTTTTTTTTTTTTTGTTTTAAAGAAAAAAAATTATCTATTTATTAATTAATTTTATAAATTAATTTTTTTTTATTTTGACAAAAAAAAAAAAAAACCGATAATAATATAATAAAAAAAATAATTAATTATTATATGCAATAAAATTCCATTAAATATATTCATTCATAAACACGTTTTTGAGGTATACTGTATAAATTTTTTTTTAAAAAAGGTCTGTCTACACAAATGAGATAAACGAGATAAACATGTAAACAAGAGTTTCACTTTGGCGTTAGAAAACTCTAGATAACGCTTCAATGTCAAATAGTATTTCAACAATTTTGTAAATTTTGTAAATGAACTAACTAACTAACTAAATCAGTGATCCTAACTAGATTTACCATAATTTATTATGTTAATTAGTGTTAGTATAAGAAGTTTGCAATGTTACACCTGTCAGAAGATTAAATAAATGATAGGTTAATAAAGATAACGATAGGTTTTTTTTTTTGAAACAATCAACTGTCAATTCATGTTATTTTAAATAGTCTAACTACATAAGCACATATTTATAATATGCTTATACGAATTAAATTATCCGATTTTTTAAATGATCGCTTATTACCGTATTAATGCAATTTACGTTTTGATAATAGTCATTATACATAACGATTTTTTGTTGACCGTGCGTACCGGTACTTGGACATGTCAATTTTTTTTTTTAGTAAAAAATTGGAAATATCCGATTATTAAATTTCTAGATAATGGCTAGAACTAACTTCAATTTTTTTTTTATGCTATGTGATAATCTTCAATTACGTATACATACGTACGTTATGTACAGTAATTTAAAGGTGTAAAAAGTACATACATATATATACTGTATATACAGTACATGAATATATGTACTTTCCGCTACGTATACGTATGTGCGAATGAAATTCAGGGTTATTTATTTGATATCTAATAATAGATTTACGTCAGAATAAGTTTTAAAAAATTGGCAAATTATACATTAATATACATATATCATTTATTTGACTTAACGTTTTTGTCCATCAAATTTTTTTTAAGCTTAACGCACGCGAATGGTTACATTAAATGTTAATTAGTTATGATTGGTCAAAATAATAGAACAACAACCAGGACAATGAAAATTTAGTTTTATGAAAAAAATAAACCAATAATATTTACGTTTCTAATATAATATTATGGTAAATAATTGTAAACGACTGTCGAGATTTGTATCTAATTATATCGGAGGACATAAAAAGTACTTATGATATTATGTCCGAGCCAAAAAATGCATTATCGTTATTATGTTTTGTCATATGACAAATGAATACATAATGCACTCTGCCTTTTTTTTTTTTTTATTACCTCTCTAAAATTACTAAACTAGAGATCTAAATCCGATGAATAATATTATATACCGAATATCCCGAATATAATCATCCGGTCCGAATTCAAAAAGGTTTGATTTCGGTATATAAATATATAATGCTAATATAATGGTTTCATTTATTATTATTTTTTTTTTTTTATATTATGACATGTTATTATAAAAGATAAATTTTCTAGACGCTTGTAAATCTCTTACCGTTGTCATAAGCGAATAAAAAAGTATAAAGAACTTCACAAATAAATAGTCTTGTAACCTTGACAGGTATATATGTATTTAATAATAAACAAATTATTTGTCACAAAAATTGTATGACATTATTATATATTTACTATATTTGAGACTCTGTGCATATAAATCTGGCCCAGCATCACTTACCTATTTTTTTAAAAGCATTAAAGTAGCACCCATTGCTTTTCATTATGATGTGATCAAGATACAGTTGGCGTTTATTATTAGAACTATACATTGCTTGTCTAAAATTGTTTGCTCAATTTACTTAATTTGCACGGAAATTTATGATTAAAACTGATCTTGTCGGTCAATCAGACTTCGCTTGACATGTAGGTTATATTTCAATAATAACGTATCTTTTTGAAAATGATGAATTAATTTTTCAACACATGAAATTTGCACGAGATTTCAATATATAAAAAATTTGCTAAAGCTTAGATTACTTGAACTAGCAAATTACAGTATATGGTAATGAATATGCTTTGAAACATAATCTGTATTTGACTAGTAACGATAATAATAAAATATGCATTGTATAACGATAAATATCAATATCATTGGCCAATTTTTATAATTTATGAGAATAGCTGTAACGTTAATGTATATAAAAATTCTGTCAATCTAAATATAGAAAACGTTCCGATTGGTTGGGTATAATTTAACATATCTTGTGCCACGTATTAAATTTATCTATTATATTTGAAATTTGTTTTTAAATAAAAATATATTTATTAAAAAATGTAAACTCTTTTATCCAATGAAAACACAATTTATTTTTAATATATAATCTTACATACTTACAATATATATCATAAAAAATAAAGATAAAAATTACAAAATAAACCTGAATCTTCATTTTCATAAAACAAGATAAAAAATAAAATAAAATAAGATGAAAAATTGAATTATTAATCGTCAATGATCTCGGCAGACTCAAATGGTTGATCTCTTCGGCAATCTT